CCCTCCGCGGCGTTCAAAGCCAGAAGCGGCCGCCTTGCGCTTTGCACCCTGGCCACCGAAAATAACGAGTTAACCGAGGGACGTAGGAGGGACGTAGAGAAGAGTTGGGGTGCAGAAGTGCTGTACAAAAGATTTCTGTGTACATGGCTGAGAGCGTGTAGTCTTAAAGTGAAATGCAAAACTTAGCGTTTCCAGCATGGCAACTAGATTGTGATTCAAGGTATTTTCTGTGTCATGCAGAAATGCAATAGTTCAAGGAGATTTTTCTGCCTCGAATCCTTAGTTTCCCTGGATTCTTTTAATCCAGTACACAAATTATACTTTTTCAGTCATTTTTTTCCTGGGAATTGCTCCTTACTTTGTCTCCACAATTCTTACCTTTGTGCCTTGATAGAAAATTCAGCTTAATCCTTGAAATTACGATACTAGTAAGATCTTATTGAGATTTAGCACTCATTTCTTTAGATTTGCATGATTACTTTCAGAGTGTTTTCAGAAACGTTTTTAGCAGTCAGTATGGGAATGTGCACAGAGCTGTTTCATTGTAGCTCTGTATACTTTGAAATATCAGGATTTGAAGAGATTTACACTATTCAGCTGTGGAAGTGCACTCTCAAACACTGACTTTCACTTTCAATGAAATAACTGTCCTGACTCATAGCTAATTTACAAAAAAAACCCTGTAATTCAGTATTGTACAGGTGCATATGCATTTTTTCCCACTATTCGATAGTCATGTTCAATAGAATGCAATTTTTATCTATTTTTCATTTTATTTAAAATCTCTGCTTAGCACATATTTGACTACATGAAACAACTGTTCTTTTAAGCTTTTAATTTCTCAGCTGCACCAGTCCCATATTTTACAATTACATAAAGGTGGGTGTGGCTAAAGCGAAAGCAGTAAGCAATCTAATATCAGTATATAGTGTATGTTAAGTAGGTTTTCCTTTCTTATATTTGATGTACTCCTTATTTTGAAATATTTGGGGGGAAAAAATCATGTAGCTTAAATAGACCCTTGTAGAACTGCCTGCATTTTTTACCTTAGTTAAAATGTCAAACATTAACTGGGATTACTTGGCCCTGGAAAAGTTACATTTAGAGGAAATATCAATTGAACTTAAAGATCTAAACATATATACTTATATTGATCGGTGAAAGTTGAAGTTCTGTGCTTACTAAAACATTGCTTAGATACACCACATAGCATAGTGTGTGTATTAATTTTTTTTCTTTTGTTTCTTTTCAGTCTAATCATCTATCTTGATTCTTAGGAAAAACATCCAAATAAGCTTCAGTTGGTTGGGGTTTGGTTGGTTTTTTTTTTTCCTTCCTCTAAGTTGTACTGAAAGTTTCCAAGAAGTACCCTTTCATTTTATAGATATAAATCTACTGAAACTTGGAATAACTCTTGAGATTTTTTTAATTTTCAGAAACAACAGTAATTTGAAAGTGTGACTGTGTATCTATGTGACTTTTTAATGTGTTAGGTTAGTATTTGATAGGAAGCTTAATGTGGTAACATTTTAAAGGGAGACTATATATACGATACCAAGGTGTCATGGGGTTCTTTTTCTGTTTGGTTCGTTGTTTGTTTTTTTTATCCTTAACTTCTGGAATTCTGAACATCTTACTATTCCATCTAAAATGCAATGTCATAGAAGGAAAAATAAATTGGAATCTTTAATTCCTTAATTCTTTTTGTGACTAATAAGTCAAATTCTTAGTGAAGTACAACTGGAACTGCCTACAGACTACCTGGCTCTGTACAGCTTGCCTTTGAACACTGTATGAAGGTGCACATCTCACCCAGCTTGAATGTCAAAAGCCATCCTAACAGGTGTATCAACGCTTTTCTGTCACACTTTTACACAAGTACAAGCACATGACCTTTCTTTACAGAAAAAGTAGCCACATAACAGTTAGTATTTCTTTTATAGGACCTTACTGGGTTTTATTATTTTCATTGGGAAGCAATTAACTACTGAACATGTAAGGGAGAACCAAGAAGCTTATCGCTGTATTCTACGAATGTGCTGCAGGTATTCTGCTTTGTAGATGCAGTCATCCACCCACACCCAAAGGCCCGTTGCAAGTCATTCCAGTAATTTACATTCATTACAAACTGTCAAAGGCAGAGCGCATCTTGGACTAGTTTTGATTGTCTGTGAAAGAAATAGGGAATGAAATTGTAGGCTTTTGTGTACAAACAGAAAAATGTTTTTATCAGAAGGTTTTTAAAACTAAAAATAACTTTATGTACATCAACAAGTATTCTCCACAGATTTATTTTTTTTTATACTTACATATTATTGTAAGTTCTAAACACTTAGTATTTAACACTGGAACCTGATCTCAAAAAAATTATGTTTTCTATTATCAGTAAAGCTTTTTTTTTTTAAGACAGGCTGCCCAAATTTTTGTCGTACATAGTCCCCTGTGACTCTTCTCACAGCCATCTATTTTTTAATAGAACTACTAAAGTATTTTAAAGATAGAAAAAAATTGATATACCTCACAAATAGAAAGGGGACATCAGACAGAATGGAGAGGTGTAGCCATAGATTTCCAGTAACCTCTTTTTAGATAGTGAAAATGTTGCTTTGCAATTATTTTTTTTTGGGGCATTATTGGCAGGAGTTATGTAGAATTTTTAGGTTACTGATGTATGAATATATAACAAGCTGGATAAACTGGGTTTCAAAAGAAATCTTTATTGAAAAATATCTTCATTGTGGATACTGGACAATTTCAGAAATTCTTTGAGTAAACTAGGTATAAAAATTTCTGCCCATAGGATATAAGGCAATGTCCATAGTGATTTTTTTTTTAACCCTTTCTTGTAAGTTTTTAAAATGCTCATTCTAATAAAGAAACTTTGGGATACATCTATTCACTGGACAGTTGATAGTACCACACTTGAGGAAGAGTTTTGATCTTAGCTTTGTGTGCTGTATGAGAAATCCAGAAGGTTTGGAGGAATATTAGAGGAGGGTAGCAGACTTGAGCTCTAGTGCAGCTAACATTTAAAGTTGGGCAATTTTTTACTTTAATATTTGCATCTAATAATATTTTTAGCATATCATTAAAAACAAAAAAAAGATCTCTTTACAGAGAATAATAAGCTTTCTAACTTTATGTAATTCTAAACACTTTTCCATATCTCGGTAATGAACAGTTACTAGTATATAAGGATGACCTCACACACACATACAGACAACAGTAGAAAATGTAATTTATGAACATTTAGCTTTTATTTTGTTAAAGGTTTCCCAAGATGTGTTCTAAAACTAAAGGCGATATTGTTATATTGCACAAAAGTGAAAGATAGGAGTGACTTTCAGTGATCGTTATTAATGTCTAAAGGAAACCACTGTTAGAAATAGGACCCCTCCGCCCCGTGACTATTTAGTTTGTTTTCAGACACTGCAATGAGTGTATCCACAGTAAATAGATTATTAATAAACTTCTCAACATTTAATCTGGTCACAACTAATTATTTTATTTAGCATGAACTGAAATTCACTTGAAGATTTGGTTTCAGAAAATTACACATCAAATGGCTTAGGCTTGTATTTTCATTTTAAATAGCTTTTGTGAGTCCAGTTTCAATATTATCTTCAAGTATGTTAAATCTCAGTATAAGCGCAGGGGAGACCACAACTTTTGTGGTTTTGGTTTAAGAACAGAAACTTTTTTTTAAAGGTAAAATAGATAATGTGTGGAATACATGAAAATACAGACAAACTCTTTTGTCTTGTTAAAGCAGGGTGCTTATTATAGTTTCATAGCTATGGGGGGGGTTAGTATTTTCTGGAATACTCTTAAAGAATAAAGAACAGATTTATGAAAATATTTGTAAGCAGGTGACTTGATCTAGGCATCAGCTACTCATTTATTAGGCCTAGGATGCATCTTGTCATAGTACCTACAGTAAAAAAGTCCAAATAAAGTCAAAATACATTTAAGATTTTGGCTGTGTGAATGCAATGTTTCCTCCAGTTACTTGACTATAGTTACTACCTCTCTCAAGTTATACTTTGTTCTTACCTGATCATGGCTACTTTTTTTTTTAGTCTCTCAGAGTGTATTATATGACAATAATTCTTCCAGTATTATGTTTTAAGTAGCTAATATTTGTAGGCTACATTGTCATAAAGGCAATAATGCTACTAGCTTGAAGAGCAAAAAAAAAAATTAGAACTCCTTAAAGAGAAACACAAGAACTTAAATACTTTACAGTCAGTAGCATATTTTAGGAAATATAACAGTAATAATCACACATCCATTAAGTAGTTTACTTACTTAAAAACTTATTTGCTTGTTTGAGGGTGGAGGGAGAGATTAGTAGTGGGTAGGAAAGGAGAACAACGCCCCTTACTCCCCCCCCTTTTTTTTTTCCTTTTTCATCTTACTTTCATCTTAAAATGCTGCAGGAAGAATGAAAGCAGAAACATGCTAATCTGATTTGTTTCAGGAGGCTTCTGATAATAAAGAGGCATATCACAGGTGTTCCTAATCAAGTCAGTTTGGTTTAAAAAAAAAAGTATTTTTAAAATTAGGATTTCCTGTAACATAGACAATGTGAGGGTCAAGCTGATGACCTACGTCTATGTTTGGGGATCAACCATGAAACTCTGGGTGTTGGAAATATGTTATAATACATGACATTTTTATTGCAGGTTTTGACCTTTCAATAGAGAGCTGATTTTGGAGAACGACTTACTCCTGTGATTGAAAAACTCTCTGGAAGGTTGATGGAGCATGAGCTTGGTATATATTGTATTAACATTTCTCTTATTTCATATGTTCTTTATTTTAAAAAATGTATACACAAGTATAACTGATTCAGATTTTTCAAAATAGGCCAGTTATGCTGGGTTTATTCACGAATTTATTATTTGTTAAAATAATTCTTCTTTACACTTCTCCTGTAAAATTATAAAAGACTAAGTAAAAGTATTTACACAAGCTGTGCTCAGAAGGAAATGAAGTGGCCAAAAGTATGTCTAAAAAGCTGAGTTTGCAACAGCCTTGATCCATTTGATTTATATAAATTCTCCATATAGTATTGTTCTCCTATTCATGTCTTGGGAATTACTCCAACTGAAATGTTGCTAATCCAAAAACAAAGTATGAATGAAATAAAAAAATTATTTTCCAATAACTTTTTTTTTTTTTTTTTTGTTGGGAGGATGTGTTAAAGAATAGAATAGAGTAGAGAGGTAGTTGAGTGCATTTCCACGTAGTGGGTAAAATTTGATTTTAAAGACATTAATAAGCTAGCTACCTGACAAACAAAGAAGCAGAAAAGAGAAAGAAAAGTGGTCTTCAGAGCCCTCCACCTGTACCAGAATAGTCAGAAATTTCATTTGTTTAATCTATTTGTCGGTAAACAGATATTCTATAGTAAAACAGTGAACATGTCAGAGTAATTAATACGGACCATGCTACACTCATATTACAAGTCCTGCTTTGCACTGAAAGTACTAATTTGGCTGAAACTGAGAAATCCATTCAGAGTAATCATAACCTATCTGCTCATATACGAATAGTCTTAACTAACCATTTACATAGACAACTGAAATTAAAATAGTAACTGGTCTTGGATTGAGTAAATTTGTTTAAATACTAAATGGAGTAGTAAAAACTGTAAGAGTGTATCTTCAGCAGAATATGTTCTAGTACAACAAATTCTATGAACGTGTTGTGACTTTAGCAATTCAAACTTTCAGCTGGAATTCAGTTTTTATCCTTAATCAGTTCTGTCTGTCTTCAAGAGCACATTTTTTGTAGGAAGTAATTGTACCATAAAATAGGAGAAGTTTTAAAAAAGCAAAATTTCAGATTATCCCTGAACTGCTGATTTCTACCAAGCAAATCCAGTGAGGTGTAAATTTCATATTTCCTCACTGTTGTAACTAAGGGCTAATAGAACTGAAGAATTGCTGGCATTTACCAGTAATACACCTCCTGTTATAGAAGTATTGAAGGCAGACATATTCTGAATATATTTTTCATAAAATACCATAATTTTAGGGTAATTAAGACCACCTACAGAAAATTATCAGTTGAGTATGGGAAGTGAAACAAGATTATATATAAGCTTTGAAGTTTGTAATTAGTGAGTAGGTAATTCTTTATTTTTTAATCCTTTCTTTATGTGTTTAAACACAGTGAAAGTACTTTTATTAGTGCTGGTGTTTGGGTAACATGCCTAATGTGCTCCCAAATAAAATAAATATTTCAGTCTGTCCAGAAACTGCTCTGAATGTACTGCATTTCTGTTGGTTTTTTTCTTTTTTTTTTTTCTTTCCCCTCTGTTTTTCTCCTGGTTCTCTTAGAAAAATAAGGATTTCACTTAACAGTTTTTCTGTAAAAATTCTTTTTTTTTTCTGTACAAAAGCAGTTACATTCTTGTTAATGAAAATCAGGATTATATTGCAAGGCAAAGGTATCTAAGGCTCCCTTGTGAGATATTTAAAAGGTGAAAGTTTGATGGAGTGTTCCTTGGTCTGACACAAGTTCAGAGTATTTCTTATAGATTCTTATTCAGCAAAAAAAGGTGGTTTCTGGTTCACAACTGTAAATCAAAGGGATTTCAAATTTAGGGCCTAATCCTTCAAACTTTAAAATACACAAGTAGTCCTAATAACTCACTACCATGAATAAGGATTTGCAGAATCATATTCTCATTAGATGCACACTTTCTTTCCTTTAATAAATTTAATATATATTAAAGTATTTTGAACTTTGGACAAGTCTAAATGATTTTATAAGGTGCAAAGAGTTTTTCAGTAATATAGTAATTGAGTCTTACTTATTTATGAGGTCAAATATCTTGTAAGACTGTTGCAGTTGTCAGTTATCATTAAAATCCACTTTTTAAGTGTTGATTTGCTCTAGAACACTTTTGTGCTGAAATTTGGCCCATGTTAATTTTTTTTTTCTAGAGCTGTTTTGTAATTGGTAGTCAGCATGACTGTTCCTTGACCCAAAGAGTAGGTGAAACTTTCAAGAAAGATGATGGAGTGTATTTTCTTTTATTTTTCTACTCTTACCCTCTGCTATTATAGTTCTTATTTAACAAAACTGCCATTGATTTTGTTAGAAGTTCAACCTGAAATAAGGGCTGCAGTGCTTGCCCCTTAAAAATTGCTGATGTGGCTATTGCAAATTGTGTGCTTGACTTTGTAAATTGTTTTGCAATATCTAATTGGAATGAAGTTGAAAAGATTGAAATGTACAGCCTTCTTTGTTGAAGTTCTTCAGACGTGGAACTTTGTGTGGCCACTTTTACTATTCCTGCTGTAGGTATAACACTTGAGGCTCTACAAACCTTGTTGACTGAATCATAATTTGAAAGCTGACAATGCATGCTTATTGCTCATCCAAAAGGAGCTGCAGATTACTTTGACAACTCATTTCTGCTTTCCTTAATGACTTCTCTTGCTTTTCAAAGGCAACTTAAATAATATTTCTGGAAGAGATATGTAGCTATAAATGCAACCCATGCCTAGTTATTACAACAGATGCAAAATCAGCCATTGTTTGAAATCCTGTGATATCTTAGGCATGACTGTTTTAAGTTTTGATATCTGAAGCAACTGAATTTTCTGGATTTTGTTAGTTTAAACTAAATCCAGCCCTAACATTATTTTAAAATGGAGTTTTGTATACTATTAGATTTAAATAGACATTAACTTTTATTATTGCATCAGGTATTTAATGAAACATGTATATAGAAAGGATTTAAGACTGGCATACTTACACATCATTTTTCCTTGTCTCTTGATAAAATGGGCTTGCAAGGCAATAGGAAAAGAAAAGCAAAATTTATGCAAATTCTTTAGGGAAAATAGTTAAAATATGCTAACTGGAATATTTAAGTGCTTATTTTTCTCAAGTGCAAACATTTAATTAAGCAAGGTATTGCCCCCCCTTTTTTTAATTTTTTTTTTGTTTAATTTCAACAAAAGTCTAAGTAGAAATTTTTGTAGACCTGTACATTTAAGCTTTGGGTGGGGGAATGAGAAATGTAATCAAAGTTCTTAAATGTTCAACTACTGTATTGATGACTTCTTAATGCACCTTGGTTTAGACTGCTGTTTGCACACTAACATGAAAAAGGGCATGTATGAAGATGCTACTGCTTATTGAATAGTGTGTTTGAATAAACCACTGTTTCTAGCTTTGTTAATTTTTAATTTATTTCAAACAAAGGGATATTCATGGTAAATTTTTTTCTGATTTTTTTGGGGGCAGGATTTTTTTTTTCTTTCTGAAAACAAGTTGTTTTGTTATTATTCTAAATTTTTACAGCAGTATTATGAGAAAATAAGTGCTTTTTCTCAAACAATACTAGCAAGATAATCTACTCAAAGCAAGAAATCAGCAATATTTGTTTCTTAATTTGTGCAGTACTGAAAAATCTTAGTAATATGCAAATACCTCTACAGTATTTACACCTTTCCTTTAACCCACTAAATTTCAAGAGCTTGCTTTTTATTTCCTGTGAATGTCCTTTGGGGTTTTTTTGTTTTGAGGGTTTTATTGAGGTTTGGGGTTTTTTTAAGCCTTCAGGTCAAAGATTTTCTTGATTTTTATGTGTCCACTTCCTAGTTGATATGAAGAGCAATATAAAGAAATGTTTTTTAAAGTTCCCTTTCTTCCCACTGAAGGAAATGGATTTAAGCATTCATATGAAAGTTAACATAAACATTTTGAAAGTATTGTGATTATGGACATGATTATGATCTTCCGAACTTTAGCTGATAATTTTCTACTTCAGCATAGATATAGCATCATCTAAGTAATTTTTAGATTTAGACAGGACTTCCAGTGGATCTAATAAACAAAAAAAATTACTTTATAATTTCTGTATTCTTTTGGAGCAAAATTTTCTGTCAGTAGAATGGGTAGATACTGTGGTCTTGAGCATGCTATTGCATTAGTAATTCTGAAAACACTTTACTTTCTCTTGTTGCAAGCTAGTCCGTATTTTAGTCAAGTTCAAGAATTAGACAAGGAAGATGCTCCATCTGTTACGAAAAGTTGCAATGGCTCTTACAAGAAAGTTTGTTGCAGACAGAGTTCTCTTTTGATACTGTAACACTTATGTCAGCATTTTGCACAGGCAAAAAGAACTCCTGATCGAAAGAATGTTATGTACTGATTAGCCTGTCCCTAAAACCAAAAGGTTTTTTTCCAGGCTCTCAGGAGAGAGGGTAATGATGCTTTTAATGCCAAGCACAGGAGTTATAAAACCAGCAGTCAAATCTGTACTTTTCTTCATCTGTGTTATCACCTAAAATCTAAAAATAATTTTTCATCTCTCAGTCAGTCAGTATGAGTTAGGGATTTTAGTTTTGTATGACCAGACTATTTTTTTAAACAAAGGGTCACATCTTTAATTCTATGTGTGTGGAAATCTGTAGCCTATATGATATGAAAGTTTTATTCACTATGTTCACTATACTTCTTTAGGTCCCAAATTCATGGCCTCTCTAATCAATTCAAGAGTAGATAAAATATGGTTTGAAATAAACTCTCAGGAAATTGTTTGCCTTTCTTTCTAGAATTACCAGATTTAAAATCTAGATCTTCATTTGCATCTAGGTTTGGGGTATAACTAGGAGACTCTTGAATTAGCAGTGAGAAAATAATTCCTTCCAGGGTGTTAGTACTGCTAGACTGTGTTCTGTTCTGACACCAGCAACTCTTCTGTTTTCGTTAAGGCTTTGATCCCAGCTATATCATCATAATTATGGTGAATTTGGCTGTGAATATTGAGTGTTTGCTTCAGAAATTGATATTTTTGTGTAACTGCATAAGAAACTAACAAATATAAAATACAAGAATATTCATAAGTTATCTCTTAAATTTATTGTCCTTGATTATTTTTTTTGCCATTTAGATACACAAACTTCTTGTATTTTGGTGTGTAATACTTAATTTGTCAACCTCACAGTCTTCTGATCTGAAAATGAGTTTGAAATGCTGTTCAGGTTTTTTTGTTTTATTTTTTTATGTGAATATAACTTATGTTGCTGACCCATTTTCCAGTATTAAAAACCTGAACAGAATTTGTCATTGAGGTAGGAATTAATGAAGGCTAACACTAGAGGGCAATTCAAAGCAGCAGTGTACTCCAGAACAGGTTTGGGTGCCTGTGGCCCTGAGCTGAAAAAGAGGGAAGCTATGGAGACTTTTCCAGGGTCTCCCCAGGCAAAAGATGGTCTTTGTGATTACCCTCCTAAATCGTTTATTTAACTCACTTTTCATATCTTGGAGTGCTCCACTGAATGAGGAGGAAGTTAAGCCAGTTCTTATGCTTTGCTGAATTACAAGTTAAGAAACGCCTTCCAAGAGAGTCTTACCCCACTCACTCTTGCCAATGTCAAAAAGGCATAACTTATTCAGTGGTGGGTTTTGTTCAGTTTTAATTTGCTGTCGTGTGCTACAGCAAACTCTTTGAAAAATACTAGGATTTGTGGGGTAAGATAACATTGCACAGAAATTTAAATGTCTTTCGTTAAGTGCTAAGGAAAATGGAATGGAATACATGGTGAGTAAAATATTTTCTTTCAAAATACTGTGAAGTTATTCAAATTAATAAGACAGTATGAATAATTAATTTCATATAAATAAGAAAAAACAAACCACCTGACAACCAGGATAAGGCATCAGATGGGTACTTTGTGTCAGTAATTTTATCAAAGAAAATATATTATATTGAATGTAACAAAAAAAATTCAGTTGAAGATGAGTAATCAGGTGCTGTATTTAATATTTAACCAAGTAGGAGGGATCATCTGTTTGTATTGTGCACAATTTAAACAATTTATATAACAGTGCATTACATAATAAATTACAGTTTTCACAGTTCCAATGTTCATTATAGATTTACAGAACATCTTGAATACTTGTAAATAATAACCTGTAATGCAAACGATGATGTTATGGTTCTTGAAAAGGATTCCAGTATTCTCATTTCAGCAATGCAAATTTTCTCATTATATTGAAATGTATGCACCCAGCCATGTAAATGCTTGTGGCACAGTACAAATTTCAAATCAAAGAGCATTTTATAAGTGAGTGTGAGTTTATACCTGTCCCTCTACCTTATTTTATGTGGATGCATATAATATATTATTATATATTTTATGTGTACTTATATATAAAAAATCTGTAATTAAAATAGCATGTTTGTTCCTCCACTCTATCAGTTTGTCACGTTGTATTATCTTTACATTCTTTTGTCATGTTGTATTATCTTTGCATTCTTTTGCACAACTTACTATAAATGTCCTGAACTTGCTTTAACTGCTTTCAAGGGTTTTTTTATAAAGAGTACTTACTTAAAATCACTCTGGCAGTGCCACAGATCAATAGAAATACTACAATGCATTGTTTCAGTAAATGTTTACACCTATTTTCTGCAGGTCTGCTCGGCAGCTCCAGTGCAAATTGAAAATATGTAATCTGCTGGCAATGATGTGCCCAACCTTAATTGGTGCTGGAGCTTTTGAAAGAGAGATTGTGTCATCACACAGCATATATAGTCCAACAATGACTGACCTTGATCGATCTGTCAAAGGAGAAAATAGCTTTCTTGGTTCTTAATTTGCAAAATACACAACAGAAAAAAAAATGGAGCACGTGAAATTTAACCCACAGAAGTTGTTAGGTTCTCTGGGGTTTCGGGGAGACTTGGTTTTGTTGGGGAAATGGGTTTGAAGGATTAGTTGGCAATCATGCGTGGTGATAAAGAGCTCTTAATCACACACATGAACTCCTGGTTTTGAGAATTTCTACCAAATCCATCTGAATCTAGGTGGTTAAGCCAAGCATACATGTAAGCTTTTAAGGAGCTGAATCCTTAGTCTTTTGCAGGTAAGACACTACCAATTTAAGAATTAGCATTTTCATGCCAACATGGCTTATCTTTTTTTTTTCCTTTTACCAGCTTGATTTTTGGCCCTAAATCAAAGAAATAAGTTCTGTCTTTAACATTAAAGCTGTCTTCAGAGTTCTGTTTATTTTAACAAAGCAAGAACAAATGTGTAAGTACCAGCAATGTGCAGAGCAATATTGCAATATCGGTCTGTTCTGTGTTAAGCAGGTGGTTTCATGTGGCAGGCTGGAAGAGAGACTCTTTTTCTTCCCAGCTTTTGACAAAAAGATGACGCATATGACTCAGAATTAGAAGGGGAAATCTGCCAGTTTGCATCAGTTCCTTAACTTGTGGGCTGCTATTCACCACAAGGAGAATCAGTATACTTGCACCAGTGCTTCTTGAGAGATGAGGAGTAATCTTTTCCTTCAGAAAGTGTAGAATGATTGGAGTAGGCCTTTGATATGTTACACTAGGCTTTTCCTATATTAAAATATTTTTCAATTGTATTAAATTTTTAGAAAGAAAAAAGCACAGATAATTTTCTTAAATGCTCCATTTGAGAATTAATATAGGAATCAGATATTATAACAATGCAGATTAAAAGCAAAGGAATCTTTTTCATAAAACTTCTTTTTTGTTGGCACTGAAACTCAGCTGTTTTAGATCTCCACAGTCAATAGGTAAGGGGGTTTTTTTATATTTTTTAACTTAATTCCACATATCTGAATCTCCAATTCGAGCTTTTAAGTAAGTTAGTAGGACTGAAAAAAATAAAAATAGTAACTTTGAAGGCAGAAGCCATCTGTTTTGAAGGGGAAAATAATTATTTGAAGTCTGAGTTTGCAAAATGTTTTGCTTTAGACCTGCTAAAAAAGATAATGCAGAACTTAGTGATAAATCCAATTATTCTTTCATATGGGTTTGCGTTATGATGGAGAGGTATTTTTTGCAATACTGATAGTTGCTCAAAGAGTGTACTGTCAAGTAGCCTTTTATTAAAAAAAAAAGTCAGATGCTAATTTTCAGAGATGAATGTTGTCTTTTTGGTTGTTAGTATTTATTAGACAGTTTGATAGGGCTAAGAATACATTTTTTTTTTCTTTTTAGCTATTGGTGTATTTTAGGTATTGGATTATAAATCTTTTTTCTTAATATATTAACTTCTAGTTAATTCAGCATGGTGTTACTTAAAGATTGTTAGTGAAATATTGAAAATCTAGCTTAATATAAAGCCGTAAGAGACACCCGGCATCCTTATCCTCTTTGTCTTTTTTTTTTTTTCAATGGATAAAGTTCTTTTCATTTGGAAAAACTGTTGTTGTTGTTTTGAAAAAGCATATCCTAAGTGAAGCTCATTTTCTAGCTGAAAAAATTAAATTCACTGCTTATCGACCTGTGTCAGCCTCAGAAAGCACCATTTTATTTTGTATTAACTCAGTTCTGTGAGTAGTGATTCCCATTGATGGGAAATAGGAAACCAAACCATGAATGTTTCTGAAAGGGGGTATACAGATATGTGTGTTAGATGGTATCTGTTAATATTAGTATTATTCTATTAATATTTCATGGTCAGGTGGGGAAAAGATTGCTGCTCCTGCATATTTCCTCAGCTACCATTTAATAAACAATAATCTAAGTAGATAATATGACTACGAATCTGCACCCCAAAGGTGTTAAGGACACTTGAAACTTCTGCTGAAGTGATTAATTAAATAACAAAGTTGTAGAAATACAGCTAACAACTGGAAAAGTTATAGCAGTTACTGGGAGGTTCCTGTGCCGTTAACTAGGGAATTCCCTTAACAGTTAAATTGATTTCTTCTAACAAGTCAGCCTCACCTTTCATAAGTCATACTGTTGTCTGGCATTTTATAGAAGTCATGTAGGGATGATGTTAAGAAAAAGACAAATTTACTGTCTGAGCCAGAAGGCAGGCTTACAAAAAAGCAACTTCTTTCAGGACACGAAAAGCTCTTTGTTCTGTGGCCTTGGTCTTTTTGTGCTTTGACCCTTATTTTATAGCATTGTCACTCTGACCCTAAATCATTGAAAGCGGACATGCAGCAAATTTAGCCCTTTACAAGTGGGGTTTCATTCTGAGCTATGGGCCTGCTTTTTATCTTTAAGTATTATAGTCCCATACAATACTGAGATGTAACAAAATCTAAATTTAAGATTTGTGGTTTGGCATAGTATAAATAGTTAATATTTACGTATAAGGCCAATTTTTTAAAAAATATATTGCGCTACTACTGTCCTATGATTTATTCCTATTTACCAGTTTCAGATAAGACAGTAATTAGGTAGGCAGTCTAGTTAACACTGTATTTTCCACTTTCCCAGAAATACCTTGGAAATTGATCCTGTGCACAGACCAGCAGGGTTCCTGCAAAATCTACTTGAATATTCTGTTGAGGACAAGAAATGCTTTGCTGTATATTACGGAGTTAGAAGATTTAAACAGCAATACCTGCATGGCCATCTTTCATAAAAGACAGTGACAGCTTAGGAGAGCACAGAATTTTACACTAGGCCTGTGACTGCTTCCTGGGCTAAATCAGCAAGTCATCTGGGAATTTAATAAAACTAATTATTTTTTTTTTAAGAAAGCTTGAAATTAATAGAAAACTAATAGCTGATATAATTTTAATATATTTTTTTAAGAATCTAATGTGTTTAAGAGGAGAAACTACTTCCCTATCTTAATAACTTCATATTTTTAGCTGGTTTGTATTGTACAGTTATTGTTGTTCAGAGAAGGATTGTTACATTTTCTCTTTTACCAGCAATGATTCTATATACTTCAGGTTTTGTAAATTTGAACTGTAATAGGATACCTTTGCTGAAGATAATAATCTAAGGATATGTTTATTGGAGACCATGAGAAAATGTATCTCGGTATTGTTTTTTTGGTTTTTTTTTTCATCTGAAGAGGTGTTAGAATTTTTTTTTAAAATGCTAATACAGAAGCTGAAGATTTTAAGAGTGATCTGGCTTTCTTTTTGGTAGATCCACTATATGTAGTTTTAATATATTTTGTGATAAAATTGAGGGCTAAGTAACATTTTAATTACTAGTGTAATGGAATATAAAACTTACTTTGTAGAACTTAGAAAATAGCTTCTTCGTTTTTCTTAATTTTGTATGTGTCCTTTCAAGCAGAAAGAATGCTGGTACAGATTGAAAGTGTTCACACAGTTTTCTTCCTGTGTGCTTGCCAAAGGTGCAGGGAAGACAGATTTTTAAAAGTTGTGTGCTAGCTATACCAGTGCAGTCAAGAGGGATCTGGAAAGCTTTTATGAAATGTAGCTTTTACAAACTCTGTTAGAACTTGGAGATTGATACACTTTACAAGTTCCCTTTAAAGTATTTCATGGAGCAATCTAGTTAATGCATCAGCATCTGACAAAGCACTTTTTAGAAGCCAGTAAAAGAGGTGGGAGGGGTTAGTCTTATACAATTTTATTTCTAAGCTAGAGTTTATTCTAAAATATACTTATAATATACCAAAATAGACATTAGTAGTTTTTGTGTGCTATATCAGCTTCCCATAATTCTGCTTTTTTTTTTTTTTTTTTAGCTAACCAGCTATAAAAATTGACATACTGTGCTTGCTAAAGTCAGAACTGACTACCTTTATTTTCTTGCCTTTCACTGCATTCTCCTTACTCTTCATCACTCCAATAGAAGCATCAATATTGCAGAACCAAGCAACTGTCTTTGGTTTGGTTTGTCTTCATGACTGCGGGGGGGGGAGTGCACTTCATATGAACAAATGCGAATCAACCTAGTAGAAGCAGTAATTGGTGTCTTAGATTAAGTAAAAAGGATGTAAACCAGAACTTGATGCTGAGAGTCCCTAACTGCACTTCTAAGTTTCCAGGTATTTTTATACTTCTGAATTTCTCAATGGTTTTGCTTCCTGGTTTTTATTTTTAGCTGGCTTTGTTATTTCATGTTTATCTTATGCAGTAGTTCTCCAGCTAGTCTAAATCTGTTTGTTCATGATCCTTGGAGAGATGGCTGGACACATGATATAGATTCTCCAAATTTAGTAGCAGTAAATTTCAGTAATCAGCAGTCATCTGCTTCACTTTCATTATTAGTACTTTACATTGCAAACAATGTAGTTCTCCTAGGCTTTTGCCATGGTTGTATGGGGGATATTGTTGACATAATCAGGAAATAGTTAACAGACAATCTCTTTTTTTTTCCCTTAGTTTATACTAACAAAACTCTAGATCAGTGCTAGCTATCTTTGTTCAAATATGTATCTTTGTGTTCAGAAGATTATCTAAAGCATTAACTGTGATTTTTTTAAATACAACTTTGTAATATTCTTAGAAATATTCAACTACTTGGTAGAAGTTATAGAGAGTGTATAAGTTTGGTCCTGAATGACTGTTCCTTTTTGAGATGAAGTGAGGCAAATTTATTGCTGGAGTACTGTCACCTAATTAAAAAACAAACAAACAAACAAACAAAAAAACAGCAACCAAAAAAACCCCACATGCAACCCTAGCAAAGAATTTATTTCTTTTTTTTAGAACTGCAGTCTTAAACATGAATGCAACTGTTACTTCAAGAGAGGAGCAGTCAAGGTGTATTCTCTTAATTCTTCTTCATCTGACCACAAAGTAACCTCAACTGAGTTGAGTGAATTAACTGAATATGCCTGAAGCAAATAATAAGGTAATAGTAGCCAAAAGTACACTGATATCTTTAAAGTAATGTTTTGAAATATTTCTGTTGAATCTTTTTTCTCCTTTTAAAAAATACGTGCATATTACGTTGAAGGCTGCTAACACTACGAATTAGGGAGAAAAGATGGTTCCTTAACAAAACAACAAGAAGGCAGGATTAAAAGGATATAGTTCTAAATCTAACTTTTAAGAATGAGCAAGAGTTGTAAATTCTACTGTGTTTGCAGTATAAATATTGCAGTGTTGAGTAAGCATATGACAAAAATAAAATGAAACTATTATTTAAACTGGGAGAGAGGGGTGTAAACAGTGTATTAGAAAGATACAGCTACATACACTTTCAGATCTTAGACTTAAAGTTAGAGAATGGAAGTGTTCAGATTTCTTGATAATGAAGAGTGAGATTTCTGTCTTTTGCCCAGATTACTTTAATAAAAAATCAAAAGCATTTCCAGCAAGAGTCACACTGTCTGTGTGTTTATTCATATTGAGTGGTGTATTAGTCTCACTGAACTGTGAGAGGAAAGCTTGGCAAATTCACCAGCAGTTGTCCAAAAAGCTACACTGCAAAATGTGCTGTCTAACATGAGTAACATACTCT